CCTCCTGAAATCCTGTAGACAATGTTGAGCTAGATGGACTGATGGTCTGACTCAGTAGAAGGCAGGTTCCTAGGTCTTTTGGAAACTTGCAATGGCCACTGGCATAGTTACATTCAAAGCAGCTAGTCCTCTAGGTTGCCAAGGTTCCAAAATGCTGCACAGATGGAAGCTCTATGCAAACGAAAGGGTACTTTGCTGATGGGGAAAGAGCCCCCCCCCCAAATCTCCAGTTCTGTTTTCGTCACAGCTCAGGAGGCTTACATGGCATATAAGTGACAAAAGGAAATAAGATACTGAGCAGTGTTTGAGTATAATTTAAAAAAGAAAAAGAACCCAAGTACATTTCTTCAATTTAACAGAGACAGAAAATTTTAGTGCATATTATTATGTCTATAAGGTAGCTATTGTGAAGAACAGAAACTAATCATAGCTTCCTTGCCTTAGCTGGAATCAATTACTGTCCAGATGCTAGTCTGGAAAACACAGAACAAGAGTGCCATCTATTGGCATTATTTTTTCCATGATTTAAACTTTTTAGTGAACTAAGGCTGTTTGAGTGTCCCACCAGTTTATTCAGAATTTACTAAGAACTATTATCACTATAAAGGGACGCGGGTGGCGCTGTGGGTAAAACCTCAGCGCCTAGGACTTGCCAATCGCATGGTCGGCGGTTCGAATCCCCGCAGCGGGGTGCGCTCCCGTTGCTCGGTCCCAGCGCCTGCCAACCTAGCAGTTCGAAAGCACCCCCGGGTGCAAGTAGATAAATAGGGACCGCTTACTAGCGGGAAGGTAAACGGTGTTTCCGTGTGGTGCTCTGGCTCGCCAGAGCAGCTTCGTCACGCTGGCCACGTGACCTGGAAGTGTGTGCGGACAGCGCTGGCTCCCGGCCTCTAGAGTGAGATGAGCGCACAACCCTAGAGTCTGTCAAGACTGGCCCGTACCGGCAGGGGTACCTTTACCTTTACCTCTTTATTATCACTATACATCCTTTTCCCCTTACATTAGTGATCTTGTTGTACTGAGATGTTCTTCCTTTTTGGTGCCTGCATTTTTAAGTTTATTTCAAAACAAATTCCATGCAGAAATATTTATGTAATTGGTGTCTTCCAGAAGGAACGTTTATTTTGCCTTCTAGCCAACAGTCACTTATGAAAATAAGAAATATAAAGACACACACATATATTTTTATAACAAACATGTACCGTATTTTTCGCACCATAGGACGCACTTTTTCCCTCCTAAAAAGCAAGGGAAAATGTGTGTGCGTCCTATGGAGCGAATGCAGGCTTTCGCTGAAGCCTGGAGAGTGAGAGGGGTCGGTGCGCACCGACCCCTCTCGCTCTCCAGGCTTCAGGAAGCTATCCGCTAGCCGCGGCTAGCGGAGCGCTGCATTAATCCGAAGCTTGGGGCGCGCTGAGCTCAGCGCGCCCCAAGCTTCTGGGTGCCGGCAAGGTCTCGCTAGCCCTGGGAGAGCCCCGCGACGTTGCGTGGCTCTCCCAGGGCTAGCGAAGCGCCGCGCTAATCCCGAAGCTTGGGGCGCGCGGAGCTCAGCGCGCCCCAAGCTTCTGGGTGCCGGCAAGGTCTCGCTAGCCCTGGGAGAGCCCCGCGACGTTGCGTGGCTCTCCCAGGGCTAGCGAAGCGCCGCGCTAATCCCGAAGCTTGGGGCTTCGGGATTAGCGCTCCGCTCAGCCTGCTTCCCGGAGCGCCGGGCGCCCTGAAAGCAGAGCTCCAGGCGCTTCGGGAACACATCCGCAGCATGGGGAGGCTTGCAGGAATTCCCCACAGGGCTCCCCACGCTGCGGATAGCAGCCTGCTGCCTGGCGGGTGGGGCGCCCTGAAGCAGAGCGCCCCTCGCGCCAGGCAGACATCCGCAGAGTGGGGAGGCTTGCAGGAGTTCCCGACAAGGCTCCCCACGCTGCGGATAGCAGCCTGCTGCCTGGCGGGTGGGGCGCCCTGAAGCAGAGCGCCCCTCGCGCCAGGCAGACATCCGCAGAGTGGGGAGGCTTGCAGGAGTTCCCGACAAGGCTCCCCACGCTGCGGATAGCAGCCTGCTGCCTGGCGGGTGGGGCGCCCTGAAGCAGAGCGCCCCTCGCGCCAGGCAGACATCCGCAGAGTGGGGAGGCTTGCAGGAGTTCCCGACAAGGCTCCCCACGCTGCGGATAGCAGCCTGTTGCCTGGCGGGTGGGGCGCCCTGAAGCAGAGCGCCCCTCGCGCCAGGCAGACATCCGCAGAGTGGGGAGGCTTGCAGGAGTTCCCGACAAGGCTCCCCACGCTGCGGATAGCAGCCTGCTGCCTGGCGGGTGGGGCGCCCTGAAGCAGAGCGCCCCTCGCGCCAGGCAGACATCCGCAGAGTGGGGAGGCTTGCAGGAGTTCCCGACAAGGCTCCCCACGCTGCGGATAGCAGCCTGCTGCCTGGCGGGTGGGGCGCCCTGAAGCAGAGCGCCCCTCGCGCCAGGCAGACATCCGCAGAGTGGGGAGGCTTGCAGGAGTTCCCGACAAGGCTCCCCACGCTGCGGATAGCAGCCTGCTGCCTGGCGGGTGGGGCGCCCTGAAGCAGAGCGCCCCTCGCGCCAGGCAGACATCCGCAGAGTGGGGAGGCTTGCAGGAGTTCCCGACAAGGCTCCCCACGCTGCGGATAGCAGCCTGTTGCCTGGCGGGTGGGGCGCCCTGAAGCAGAGCGCCCCTCGCGCCAGGCAGACATCCGCAGAGTGGGGAGGCTTGCAGGAGTTCCCGACAAGGCTCCCCACGCTGCGGATAGCAGCCTGCTGCCTGGCGGGTGGGGCGCCCTGAAGCAGAGCGCCCCTCGCGCCAGGCAGACATCCGCAGAGTGGGGAGGCTTGCAGGAGTTCCCGACAAGGCTCCCCACGCTGCGGATAGCAGCCTGCTGCCTGGCGGGTGGGGCGCCCTGAAGCAGAGCGGCCCTCGCGCCAGGCAGACATCCGCAGAGTGGGGAGGCTTGCAGGAGTTCCCGACAAGGCTCCCCACGCTGCGGATAGCAGCCTGCTGCCTGGCGGGTGGGGCGCCCTGAAGCAGAGCGCCCCTCGCGCCAGGCAGACATCCGCAGAGTGGGGAGGCTTGCAGGAGTTCCCGACAAGGCTCCCCACGCTGCGGATAGCAGCCTGTTGCCTGGCGGGTGGGGCGCCCTGAAGCAGAGCGCCCCTCGCGCCAGGCAGACATCCGCAGAGTGGGGAGGCTTGCAGGAGTTCCCGACAAGGCTCCCCACGCTGCGGATAGCAGCCTGCTGCCTGGCGGGTGGGGCGCCCTGAAGCAGAGCTCCCCGCCCGCCGGACAGACATCGGCCAGCCCCGCAAGCTTGGGGGACAGCAGGGAGGCGCAGCGCCACTATCCCGCTGTTCCTCGACCTGGTTCGGTTTCCCTGACCTGCTTTTGGGGGGGAAATAAAGGGGAATTTTTTTTCCTTTATTTCCCCCCCAAAAAACTAGGTGCGTCCAATGGTCCGGTGCGTCCAATCGTGCGAAAAATACGGTATGTAATTAAAAACAAATCTGTACAAAAGTGCTTTAACATTACAAACTTGGATTAGAAGTTCCATGCCCATAATTCAAACACAGCATTTTTAGAACTTTGTGGCTAATGTTGGTCACAGGACAGAGAGGTGGGGGATAAAGAAGAGGAGGAGGAGTTTGGATTTGATATCCCGCTTTATCACTACCCTAAGGAGTCTCAAAGTGGCTCACAATGTCCTTTCCCTTCCTCCCCCACAACAAACACTCTGTGAGGCAAGTGAGGCTGAGAGACTTCAGAGAAGTGTGACTAGCCCAAGGTCACCCAGCAGCTGCATGTGGAGGAGCGGAGACGCAAACCCGGTTCACCAGATTATGAGTCCACCTCTCTTAACCACTACACCACGCTGGCTCTCACACATTACAGATCAGTGCTAAACCCTAGGCTAACCACAGATATGGCTTTCAGATATAAACAGAGAACTAACCAGAAATAAAATAAGAACTGCAAACATGAAGTTTAACTGGCACCATATTAATCACCCACTTGTAAAGAAACTAGGATGAACTTTTTTGTTGCTGAACGGGCAGTAGTTGCTTTGGCATATATTTTCCTTTGTCCACTGGAACCGCTTCTACCTCACAGTGTGATCCCAGTCAACTCAATGTAGATGCGATAGCATCCCCAACACTCAATAACCTGATTTGGCACTGTGACATCACTGAGGGCTAATGGAGTCAATTCAGAGTAAACAGTGCACTTCCTGTATCATAGGTTTATTGTGTGGGTAGGTAGTGGAATGCCTACCTATCAGGAGAGAGTTACTGAGGCGCTTATGGTCACTTGTCACCCCCCCCCCCATGTAGGTACTTCCCAATCTGTGGTTACATCTCCACCACCATACTACTGGCAGAATGGGTGAACGCTTCAGCCTTGGGCTCTGCAGAGTCAGCCTATCTGTAGGTTGTTCAAAAACCCAGAACAGTATTTAGATGGCCCCAAAACGCCTTGATAATCTCAGGTAGAAATGAAGATTTTGCTGAACAGTTCATTAGTTTAGGAAGGTCAAGCAGCTCTTCCTGCAGTGGGTAAGCATATACTGCACTGCACATACGCAATGAATCTGCAGTAAAAAGGGAGACTGTACAGAAATCCTCTGACTTCCGTCTATTCAGTTCCCCATGTGACGCCAGTTAGTGCATTGCTTCCCCTTTTTTGCTGTCTAGTCCCTGTTTGACATTGTGTGGTGTGTGCCCGCCCCCCCACCCCGTATCAGCCCACATTTGTGTATTATTATAGGTAGACTAGACTAAGGAACAATACAAACGGGGGAGAAAGCCCTGAATATAAATAACCCCCAAGGCAGAGCAGATATATAGGAAGTGGACAGGGCTGACCAGATGCTAGACCATATGATAAACACCAAGAGTCATGGTGCAGTATAAAAAACTGGGCATTTATATGGTACAGCTGGCTATGCATAATCTTTTCCTAATTTATGAGGCTGGAGCATCTGGTGTGTTACTGTCATTCTATTAGGTCCCCCCCCCCACTTCCAAGTGAGCTGTGTCCTGTTATGAGTATCAGATTTTTAAACGCTGCCCTGCCAGTGGGTGAAATGAAAATGCAGTTTGGGGAGATGCATTAATGTGAACCTATTGCTCATAATAATGCCTTTCAGAAGTGAACATGGTACCTGAGAACAAACAAGGGGGGTGTAATTTCTATCAATTCACACACACTTCATTTTATACATGGCTGTAGCTCACAGGCTTTGAAGTCACAAGGGATGTGACCTGTATTTGCACCCATCTATGTGGCGAAGAGAGTTTTTATCAGTTCCAACTCTCAGTCCAAAGAAAAGGAAGCGCAAACTACACTAGACCAGAAAAGATCTTCTCTACAGAGTTAGGGGAAGGTATCCAGATAGAGGGGCATTAAAATCAGTTGACCACAGACCAAGGCCCAAGCATGTTGGTGCGGCGGGTACAAATTAATGCTTGAGGATATTTATGGAAACTTATTTAACTGTATCTATATAGCTATTATTAGAAAAGTTAGCTGAAGCCCTTCTCTAGAAGTGTGTGTGTAGCTGTAGAGTTAAACTAAGTCTTTGGTTATAATAAAACTGTCAGGTCTTTGAAGTAAGAGATTCAGTGTGGCTTACTCTTAAATATGTGAGTGTTAGCTTGCAACATACCTTTTGTAGGATTGGGAAATCATAGTTTCAAATTTCACATCATAAAAGATGATTCAGTGTGGCTTACTCTTAAATATGTGAGTGTTAGCTTGCAACATACCTTTTGTAGGATTGGGAAATCATAGTTTCAAATTTCACATCATAAAGACATATATTATGAGAAGTAAAAAATTGCAGCAAGTGATCCATCTAGGTCTGAATGCTGTTCTCACAGTTAGTTGGCCAAGCAGATGCCTACAGGAAGCACACAACCAGGGCCTGAAACACAGCCGCATTTCACATCCTGAGGTTTCCTGCAGCCAGTATTCAAAAAAGCCTATTGCTTCCCACAGTGGGGGTAGCAAAAGATTATGATTCTTGCATTGCAGGGTGTTGGACCAGTTGACCCTCAGGCTTCCTTCCAACTCTACAATTCTTCAAATTCATAGCAGAATACTTCAGATAAGCCTACGTGCTTATAAACCTTTACAATGGATATTTGTGACAGTCAAAAGTAATTGCTTCTCTTTCTCTTTTTCAATGTTCTCAGATTGAGAAACAGACCTCTTAGGCTTCTGGTGTGTCACTGGAACTCTGTGTTTGCAGCCATTCTTCCACACCAGGAGGAAGCCAACGCCTGTCATAACCAGAAATGTTTCTGCAGCTATCTGGGAGTGTGGGTTGTTCCACATCTGCATTGGGAAGATCCAGATTTGGAACACAGCTACACATCTCTTCTTGGCCACTGACGTCTCTAAAATAATTTCCATTCCCTTCGGCGCTTTGTTCACCTTCAGAGATTTCCACAATAATGCCTTCATGGAGACTTGAAGTTCTCTGAGAGTGAAGTGTATCTGCTTCTTGGTCAGAGTCACTGAGGCCAGTGGTCTCTCCTGAGGGATCCGACTCTGACTTAATGTCTGGTTCAGTTACAAGAACAGCATGTCTGCCTTCTGGTCTGGGGTCAAAGTTGACTGGGTTCATGTTTCTTACCACAGCAGCCTTAAGAAACGAGAAAGGAAATGAAAAAATTAGTGGCAAGTTATATTCCTTGGAAACAAAAGATAACACACAGCCCATTTCTCATCCGTTTTAGCATGCATGAACACATGGGAGTGCATCAGTTTGCTCATCTTCCAGCTTCTTCCCTGTCCTTCATTTCATTTCATTTTTAATTGTTATACCACCTTTCTATATTGCTATGCACAAGGCAGTTTACAAGCTGAAGAAAGAGCAAAATATAATAATCCGGTCCAACACAAATAAGTCATAATAAAATATGTGATAAATTTGTCATACAGCTCCCATGTTTAGTTATAAGCCCTATAAAAATTGTAAGAGAAGTAAGGAAATCCAAGTAATCCATAAGCTTACTGAAAGATGGGAGTTCATAAATCACTGGAATATGAGATTTCAAGATAAAATACTCAATCTTATGTTTTGCTTAAATTGATATGATGCATTGCAATCTTTTATTCATCATTTGAACATAAATGTGTATTTGGATATTTAAAACAAAAAAGTGGGATAAATGCCATAAAAGTTAAAATGGTCACCACACCAGTGAATCTGGCTGTGGAGGCCTTTGCTTTTGACTACTAATACTGCCAGGTTGTGTCAGGCACCACAGGGACCAAGATGTGCACAGGGCCCCATGTGGCTGAACTTGCTGACAGAATTTCCACAATGCATTGCTATGCCATGGACACTGCATTGTGAACACTGTTGCTATCATCTAATAGTCACTCGGGCCCGGCATTTTTGTCAGTGCTGCGTCAAAGCGTTTTATACCAGCAGCGGAAGGTTTTTTTCAGCTTTGGGCCTGAACAGCAGAGGTTATTAGGAAGAAAGCAGTCCTCACTTACTCCAGGCATAGACAAACTCGGCCCTCCAGATGTTTTGGGACTACAACTCCCATCATCCCTAGCTAACAGGACCAGTGGTCAGGGATGATGGGAATTGTAGTCCCAAAACATTTGGAGGGCTGAGTTTGCCTATGCCTGGCTTGCTCAATGTGTTCTACCAAATGCTGCATAGTGCATAATATTATAATTGTGTATTGACTGTATTTTGAAAACTTTTGCAACCCTTTTTGGGAGTCTCTTGAAGCTATAAAGCAGTATGTAAGTTTTCTAAGAGAACCAACAAAATAAAATTTGAGTCTGTTAGGTATTAAGACATTATATATGAAGAAAGGTCCGTATAGTTAAAGCTATGGTTTTCCCAGTAGTGATGTATGGAAGTGAGAGCTGGACCATAAAGAAGGCTGATCGCCGAAGAACTGATGCTTCTGAATTATGGTGCTGGAGGAGACTCTTGAGAGTCCCATGGACTGCAAGAAGATCAAACGCATCCATTCTTAAGGAATGGATAGCCTTGAGTGCTCACTGGAAGGACAGATCATGCAGCTGAGGCTCCAATACTTTGGCCACCTCATGAGAAGAGAAGACTCCCTGGAAAAGACCCTGATGTTGGGAAAGATTGAGGGCACAAGGAGAAGGGGACGACAGAGGACGAGATGGTTGGGCAGTGTTCTCGAAGCTACCAGCATGAGTTTGACCAAGCTGCGGGAGGCAGTGGAAGACAGGAGTGCCTGGCGTGCTCTGGTCCATGGGGTCACGAAGAGTTAGACACAACTAAATGACTAAACAACAACAACAACATATGAAGAAAAGAACTTTAGGCTCCTACAGAGAACTTACCAGAGACTTAGGAAGTTTAATTGTTCTCTGTTTTTTACTGAACCATCTGTAGATTCCTGCAAGGATTCCCCCCAATCCAAGAAGAAATCCAAGAACACCTACAGTTATAGGCACTGTTAAATCTACAAAATTAAAGAGAGAGACATTTGATACAATAACAAGGCATTGGGTCTAATACTATTAATTCACACATATACATATGCTACACATTTCAAAGTAGTACAGATATTTTTCAGTAAATTAGCAGGTCCTTCCTTGGCAACGCATAGCTATTTATAAAACAGCCTGGTGCACAATCTGGATACATGGACGGACCCCCCCCCTCTCTCTCTCTCTCTCTCACACACACACACACACACTCTGTTATCCATGAGAGCATGATGTAATGAGTTTAAAACAAATTCTATCTATACAGTCGTACCTTGGAAGTCAAATGGAATCCGTTCCAGAAGTCCGCTCGACTTCCAAAACGTTTGAAAACCAAAGCATGGCTTCTGATTGGCTGCAGGAAGCTCCTGCAGGCAATCGGAAGCTGCGGAAGCCCTGTCAGACGTGCAGCTTCCAAATGAACATTCAAAAACTGGAACAGTCACTTCTGGGTTTTGATCGTTTGGGAGCCAAAACGTTCAAGAACTAGGCTGTTCGAAAACCAAGGTACAACTACTGTATGTAGCATTTCTAGCTTGAGAGGGGCAGTCTTCCATCAGTAGGGAGTTCTACTGAAGGTGTGGGTGGGAGAACGATTCTGCAGAAGCTAGACTGACATCATGGGTTCCCTCTCACAAATTAGGAACCAGGAAGCTGCATTTTGAAACACAGAACTCCCTGGATGTGTTTGTGGGCCGTCCCATAACTGCAGCAGTTGAACAGCTGGAGGTTATAAAGACGGAGCAGTCAGAAAAAGCTGAACTAGCACCTGTGAATCTAAACAGAATGGCAACTATGCAAGTACAGTCGACTTGCAACTTGCACACACTTAATTTGCATGACCGCAGCTTTATGCACCTGGTGGCTGGTCACCCGTGGTAACACAAATGCACGCACAGCAGAGCTGAGAAGTGCTGGCGCAGAAAGCACCTTTAAGCCCTCTGCCTTGCTTACTGGGTTCTGAGAGGCTCCTGGCACCCTGCATTGCAGGCAAGACCTGCACAGTGTGCCATCACTCGAAAGGCAGGGATGGTCAGGTGGGAGCGATTCCAGGGTTGTTCTAGCTACACACAGTTTTGACTATATGTACAATCTCCGAACCTAACCCCTGTGAAAGTTGTGATCCTCCTCTACTCCAAATTATGAAGCTGAGTGACCATGGTAACCATTGAATTCAGTGGTGGTTACTTCTAAATAAAGGAGGAAAGAGGCTGCTTTTGCAAAGATGTGGAGGCTGCAGTCTACCCCCAGCCAGTCAATCATGTGACATCACAATGATGGCAGATGACTAAGGGGTAGCCGACTTGCCAACCTGTCCAATTTGGTTTATGAGGCAGATTTTGTTAAGACTGTGGCCCATAGAGCCGTAAAGGTTCCCCACCCCTGTCCTGGTGGCTCTGCAGATTATGAGGCTTTCAAAATAATGAAGAATTAACTTATTTACCTGATGGGTGTTTAGGAGGAATGTCAATACACCTCTCTTCAGATTCTTCACTCTGAATGGCAAACTCGTCTGAAAATCCTTGAACTGAAACACAATACAAGCTTTCCGAAGGAGGAACTTGAATAGATATGGTACATGATGTGTCACTACATGATGTGTCCTCTGCCTCAAATTTTTGACGCTGTAAATAACAAAAAAACTTTTTTTTACAGTTACACTTGTTTATGTAAATACAATATATGCAAGGAAACAGGAAGGGGGCTGCCAGCTGATTCAAACGCTGCCTACTAACAACCTAATTTGCTACTGAAGATTTGCAGAGTAGAAAAAGCCTTTTTTATGGGCTCCATGATACAACCAGATTTTTCTTTCCATGTTCTTAGAATTAGTCTGATTATTCATCTCTGTTTCCCCACTGCATGATTTATACGGTATGTGGTTTACTTCCCTGTTCCTAACATGATCAATTTTCTCATTTCCCCCTTTTCTCTGTCCTCCCCTCCACCTCCATTCCTACTTCCGTGTCAGTGGTGTTTCAACTAATCAGGGTCCTGGTCCACATTCTTCCTTTCCCTCTAACCTCATTGCTATTTCATTATGCAGCATCCCTCTTTGTGCTCTTAAAAGCTATTGGGGTTTTTCTGCATAACAGAACCATGTTATTGTTTCTCATCAACTGTCTTCTCTTTCACTGAAACACTGATTTAGCCTCACAGTGTTAGAACAAGAGACTTGCAGTATCTTTAGATCAATGACCAACATATTGTGGGGCATATACCTAGATACATGAAAATACACATTGGGATTCCGCCCTGCCCCCCAACTGTTTCAAATGAAATAACTAAGAAATATATATCAACTTTATAGTTCCTCCTCTTTACCGCTCCTCCTCTTTAGTTCCATTATTACTGTCTCTTTTTAAAAGAATATTTAAAAAAGAGACAGAAATTCCTGTCTTTTCTTCTTTACCATTACATTATCCTGACTTTTGCTTTTGTTGAATATTTCCAAATTTCATTCAGTTCTTTCTCCTCCTTCAACTAAAACATTGGTTTACACTGATTTTATGCTGCCTCTATTACTTAAAGCATCAAGCTTGCCTAATTCCCTCCCCAGGCATGCTTAATTCTCTTCTCCACCCTCTATCTTGAGTTTTTAAATCTGACCACTTCTGTCTTCTTTACTGGCTCCCCTTTCATTATTACATTCATTTTAAACTTTTGCTCTTTGCTTCTAAGTGTCTGCATTCTCTTTGTCCTTTGTTTTGTCTTTTCTCTCACAATGTGACCCTACTCGTTTCCAACATTTTGCTAGCACTCTCTTCCTCACCAAGTCCCTTTCTTTCTCTGCTTCCCCCCATTTTCATTCTTTAGTGCTCATTATTCTAATCCAGAGGGACGTGGGTGGTGCTGTAGTCTAAACCACTGAGCCTAGGGCTTGTCGATCGGAAGGTCGGCAGTTCGAATCCCTGCAACGGGGTGAGCTCCCGTTGCTCAGTCCCTGCTCCTGCCAACCTAGCAGTTTGGAAGCACGTCAAAATTCAAGTAGATAAATAGGAACCGCTCCAGTGGGAAGGTAAACAGCATTTCCGTGTGCTGCTCTTGTTCGCCAGAAGCGGCTTAGTCATGCTGGCCACACGACCTGGAAGCTGTCTGCAGACAAATGCCGGCTCCCTCGGCATATAGAGCGAGATGAGTGTGCAACCCCAGACTCGTCCGCAACTGGACCTAATGGTCAGCCATACCTTTACCTTAACCTTTATTCTAATCCAATGTGGAAGCACTGCCCCAGGTCTTCAGTGGCAATATGCAGCTGGATCCTACATAATTTTCACAAATCTCTTCCTCCCTGGTGATTTCTTCTCTTAAATTGTAAGGTAGGTGCGTGTTGGTGTGGGTGTGGTAAATTACCACCTTATTTTAAAAGACACTATATACTATTGTTACTGCTGTAGCACAATTAAACCATCAGTACTCTAAGAGATAAAGCTTTGTTTCTTGAAAAAAAAATTTGGAAACTGAAACTTTAACTGTACCCTAATGTACACAATACTTAGAAACCTGTTTAACATAAATTGTTTTCAATGTATTGTTTTCAATTGTCTTGCTGTGATGAGTAGCACACTGAACAGTCACACACTGAACATGAGATTGTCCATTAAGATCTCTATGCAGTACTCCTGATTCAGAGACACACACAGAGATTCTGAATACAGTAAGTAACAGGAATGACTTGGGTAAAGAATTCCAACTGTCATTGCAAAACTGTCAGTGCTTTAGCATAAATGAACAGGTCAATCATGTGAATTTATGTCGTTGAGGTTTGCAGCACTTATCAAAAAGAAATCTGGCCAACTATGCCCTTAAGGGGAAATAGTGCTATCAGTGGTACACTTGTAGATTGAGAGATGCAAGCACACACTTTGAAAGAAACACATTTTTTTCCCCAGGCCTTTACCTTCCCCATGCTAATATCAAGAAGAAAAACAAGATGTCCCTTCACAGCTCAAGAATATGAAGTATACAGCAGGAAACAGGAAACAAAGCACACCCAGAAGTCCAGCCATTAGGCAACTTCCAGTTTCCTAAAAAATGTGTGGAATATACTTCATGTGCCTGCTGGTGAACTGAAGCTCATCAGAACTATGCTGAAATTGTTCTCTGAGCATCACATCAAAAATAGCCTCTACATTAGGGAGAGAAGTTGATAGTCTTAAATATACCTTTTTCGGGTGTCCTTTTTCCCAAAGGAACACTCTGGAGGTGAAGTCTGTGATGTTTGCCCTTAAAGTAAGTGGGAACTTCTTGCCATATGGAGTGAGAGGAACTTCAGTATCAACTATTATTTCATGATTCTCAATGTAGATATTAAATTTTGGTGGTGCTATTCGGCCTGAAACAGTTAAACTTTTCCTATTAATATCAAACAGTTCACAGTACTGCAATGCAAGAAAGTTAGCTACAGACAACTTTAAACATTTATCAGCGTAATTGAAGTAGTATGGGTGAATCATCAGATCTTTTCTGGGGAACAACTTGTGGACAGAATGCAACCCTCAGCCCATTTGTATTGGCTAAAATTCTACTGTATGTAGGGATCAGGCTGCCTGGGTCATGCCACTCTCTTAATATACCGCAAAGTGTTGTGCTGCAAGAATAACAACTATACTTTTCTTTTAACTCTGTGAAGTACTGCAGAAGTAATTAAAATGATAATCAATAGAGAGAATCGACAACCCGTGAAGATACTCAGTAAGGAAATTGTGAAGCTACCCCTCATGAACCATAATAGGAGCATTAATTGAAGGCAGGTACTATTTGTCATAGGCTGCTCACCTGTGCTACACACATCTCCCCCTTAGGGCTGGGCGATATCAGCTTTTCGACATCATGGTGTATCGCCAGCCAAACACTGTGGGGTTTGGCGATATACCAGGATGCTGAAAAAACAAGATGCGCTGGCAAGAGCTGAGGCAGTTTCACCCAGGCTTGCAGACTGGGACAACGCAACTTCTTTGTGCTGCTCAGCTGAGGAGAGAGGGTTGCTGCTCCCCACAGCGAGCAGTTAAAACAGCCCTGATGCTCTTGCCATCTTGCCATTCTTGTGCGAGCTGCGAGAGCACCGGGGCTGTCTCAGATGGGGGCGGGGGGAATGTTAAACTGCTCAACTGAGGAGTGGCGACTGCGCTCCCCTCAACGGAGCAGTTTCAGAGCCTCTAACCCACCGCTGGCTTGCAGGAGACATTGCCAGGCTGGGGGCTCCTTTAACTGCTCAACCGAGGCAAGGGCAGCTGCACACTCCTCAGTTGAGCAGTTTAAAGATGCAGAGGGAGGAACAAGCAGTGCCCGCTTGAGGAATGAACTCTTGACTCCCTCCAGTGGACGCTGCTAGCAGAGGGACTCAGGAGTGGTGGCGGTTTCACCAGCGATATACCGCTAAGTCAAACCAACATCGTGGTCTGCTCCTCATACTGGTCCTGGGCAATAAATCAATATATCACCCAGGCCTACTCCCCATGCTCCACTCTTAAGCCCCTGAGCTTGGAGGCTTAAAAGGGGAGCGAGGGAAGCCTTGCAAAGGGCTCTGTGAGTCTCCCCGCTTTAAGTTCCTGATCTCAGAGGGGAGTAAAGGAGACTTGCAAACCCTTTCCCAAGTCACCTTGCACTTCGCTTCTTAGCCTCCGAGACTGGGGACTTAAAAGAGGGAGATTTACAAAAGACTTTAAGACAGCCTCTCCCCTTTGGAGGGGCTCAACCTGGAGTGCAGGGACAGGCTTAAAGCCTTTGCAGAAGTCTCTTTCAAAAAGGTCGTGTACAAGAGCTGCTTTCAGACAATCAGTGCTGTATTTTAATATTTTGTTGGAAACCACCCAGAGTGGCTGGGGAAGACCAGTCAGATGGGTGGGGTATAAATAAATTATTATTATTTTCAGGGTGCCCAGTACTGGCACTTTTGTTGTTAAAAAAGTGTGGCACTTACTGTAACAACTTCATGGTGAGTACCGGCACCTATTTTTCTAGAAAAAAAGCACTGGCTTTAATTGTCACTCAGATTAATGATGATTTAATCCTGATAAAAAACTTCCTTCCAGTAGCACCTTAGAGACCAACTATGGTAAGTTTGTTATTGGTATGAGCTTTTGTGTGCATGCACACTTCTTCAGATACCAATAAAAGCTCATACCAATAACAAACTTAGTTGGTCTCTAAGGTGCTACTGGAAGGAATTTTATTTTATTTTATTTTGACTACAGCAGGCCAACACGGCTACCTACCTATAACTAGATTTAATCCTGCTCTGTGATCTTGCTCCCTGCTGGGAACTTGACAACCAGTGAAGTATTAAACCCTGACTGTCTGCCCTTCAGCTGGCATAATCAGTAACAGTTGATGTGTGGCTAGGTGTGGTTTGGGGAAAATAATAACAATAACAATAACAGTAGTAGTACCACCCACCCTTCACCTTAACGTCCCAGGATGGGTTACAACATTAAAAGAACATTACGGACAATTTAAAACAATCCACAACCATAAAAATAATGTGGGTCCTGAAAACACCTGTAGGTGCAGGTGTTTAAACAATACAATGAAGGTGCGAGGCACACCTGTGTGGGTAGGTAGTTCCACAGCTTAGGGGCTGCCACACAGAAAGCCCTCTCCTGCCCCCCCCCCAGCCTTAGAACTACCAAGAGGGCCTTTTCTGCCTGGTCTCAGCACCATAGAGGGTCTGTAGGGAAGGAGACAGTCTTTCAGATATTGGGGGCCTGAGTTGTTTAGGGCTTTAAACAGCAATGTGAGTGCCCCTTGAATTGGGCCCAGAAACAAACTGGGAACCACTTCAACTGTTTTAAAACACAGTTGTATGAGATCTAAATGGAACCCCAGTCAGTAATCTGGTTGCTGCCTTTTGGACCAACTGAAGTTTCTGAGTCATCAAGGGTAGCCCCACGTAGAGCGCGTTTCAGTAATCCAATCTGGAAATTACCAGAGCAAGGAGTATAGTGGCCAGATCACCTTTGTCCAAAAGGGATCGTAGCTGGTGAACATGCTTGTCTCTAGCATTTTTTGTCTTATCCTGCTATGGCTGTATACTAATGCAGGTTTGATTGATTGATTGATTGGTGAACATGCTAGAGTGGAAAAAAATGCCACCTTAGCCTCCGGTGACCATGTCAAATACAGGAGCACCTGCAAACTGCAACCTTGTGGGCTAAGTTGAACCCCCATGTGAGCCCCCAATTGCCCTGCAGCCTGGAGATTCCCTAGCCCCATTGCAAAGGATAGCCCGTACTCAAGATCCTTACATATTTCAATGACAACTTACCATTCTCGAACACATGATATCGGTCTGAATATGTATAGTCAGATTCATGCAGTCCATTAAGAGCTTTAACCTTCACCCAGAATGTATCACATGACTCATCAACCTTGTGGGTGATATCACAATAGTGTTGTGTTATGTTTACACAGTTATCAACTTCCACGTCACCATACCTATGTAAAACAAAAGAAAAGAAAAGAAACCATTCGAAGTTCATATTCAAAGTGTGATAAAATTGCAAAAAAAGTTTATTTTGTTAATCTGCTGATTCATTAGAAGACAGCACTGAACGAACAAACATTTGGGGGAGGTACAAAGTCAAAACAGTCTTACCCATAGCACCGGATGCTCACAGTAAAGAGAGTCTTTGAAGACACACTTTTGTAATCCCACCGAACAGAGGTGTTGAAATTATATGAATCTATGACAATATTGCTTGGTGAAGGCACTGAAAAGACAAAGGTTATTACTGCTTTGATGCAACTGAATTAAATGAATTTTGAAAACAGCCAACCAAATGACTATTTATAATTCTAGTAGAAGGATATAAACAGAACACACAGGGGCTGGGGTGGACAGCAGAATTGCCCTGTGTGTTTCTGCAGCCTCCCGCATGTCACATACATGTGCATTCCTATACATGTAGGAAATGTCCAACATCTATGTCTGAAATCTGGATGGAGGGGTTTGCATGTGAGGATATGGGCACCTACAGCTTATTCTGACCTTATGTCAAATGCATGGAAGCAAAGGAGGTCTGTCCTGCCTGCACTCAGCCCACTTTCTATGCATTTCAGGACACATGTCAGTAGGTCTAATTCCACTGAAAATTTCTACAAATATACCAACTGTAGCCCTGCCAGCCTTCAAAAATGATACCAGCCTTCAAAAACTGTACCACCCTGCATGAACCAAGGTGGCACAGAGAGCTTGAGGTTGGTAAGCTACTTCCCTCACTATGAATTAACTACTAAAAACCACCCCGAATTAAAATTATTTATACACTGCTTTTTAGTAAGAAAGAGAGAGGCTCCCAGAGCACTTTACAAAAAAATCAGCTGTAAGATCATCCTTGCCTCAGGCGTATGATCTAAAACACATGACTTGAGGAAAGATGGATTTTTTTGGGGGGGGAGAAGGAAACCAAACTTCGTTCTTAAAGTTATATTGTACTTTTTAATAGCCTCATTTCCCTCCCTAGTTGTTTTTACCTATTTCCTATATTTCAACATTTTCTTCCAATTTCTTCCCACAAAACTTTCTGTACATCATGACAAACCAGGGGTAATAATCCTGTATAGTCCTGCTAAGCCACCTGGTCTAGCCACTTCTAGTGTAGTGAGTGAGGCCTTTCTCATTAAGAGACAGGTCTAGTCTGTGACAGGAACACCCCCTCCCCTCTCTTGATGTAGTTCCCTCCATAGCTCAGTAGAAATGGGTTAGCATCTTAGTCTTGCCTGCTCTGCTGAGCTGCTGTTCTGTAGCTCATGAACAAATACAACTTCTCCTGACTCCTGCTGCTTCCTGGTATTTGGGCAGACCCCTTGCAGGGTTTTTTTGCACACAGTGGGTACCCTTGTTAAACCCCACAGGGTGCTTCACCTACAACTGTAAAATATAGCCAGGAATTCCTCTTGCACTGGCACCCACAAGTTATGTTTTCACTCATATTGTGCAATGTAGGTGCAACATTTTAAGTTCCTTTGTGTCTTCCATTGGATAAAAGGGAAGATACATTTTACTTAGCTGTAGAGATAATCCACCTTTCATTAAAGCAGGCAACATAAGACTTATCTCGTATCATGGAGCCATCTTTTAAACTTTTCAGGAATGTAAGCAAAAGGAAGAAAAGGACAGTTCGCTAAGCTGACAATATCCTTTCCACACTCAGGACGATGCTAAAAGTTCCTAGCTTTTAGTAAACCACTATTCCTTAGAGGCCTTCCAAACTTGAGTTACACAATTGTTTTGCAGCTACAAGCACACCAGCTGCTAAATGATACTAAGCTGGGGATCTCTAACATATTTCCAGAAAATACGCAACTAGAGTTCCAAGTGATTTCCCGAGTGCCTCTTCAAATACTTGCTCCACATCTGTTCCTCATGCCTTCCTAAAGGGTCAAAGGCCACCTTGAACCATAGTCAATTCTTCAGAGCATGTATGTCAAGATGAACATGGCAGCCCAAATGCAAAAGTGGCCATGGTGAGAACAGTTTTAAAAGCTTCTTTCCAAAAGACTACACTATTTTAAATCAATTTTTATCCTTCCTGGTTAAATTCTTATGGAATAAAAAATTTGAGGGATCTTAGAGATGTCACACACACACACACACACACACACACACACACACACACACACACACCTGACATCATGGCATCACAGTAGTAGTCAGTATTACTTTTTAAATACAGTATCAAATTTAGTGGGGCCATTGGGGATTCACAAACAATCTTTTGGAGTCAGTGTCACAGGAGACCTATGGAAGCACTCATCAAAAAATTAAAATCTTGACAAATTTTGGAGAGCTCATGGCATCACAGTAGGAAACCCACATGAGTAAAATTAACAAACTAAAGCACATTAGAACAACAACAGATGACAAATTTGAGGGTCTTAAAGACTGCAAAAAGCTGCTTGGTGGAACAGAGGCAGCCTGTGAGTCCTGATACAGAGGATGTGTGGAAATCTTACCAGACTGATTCAATAGGTTAACACTAATAACATATCTTTAGAATTCAGAAGTATTGTGAAAATAAAGAGTTTACATTCATTTCATGGGTCCAGGGCCAGCTGATTTTAAGTGACCTTTATGGACAAGTTGGTTTAGCAGCCTAGTGTGCTTAACTTGCAGAGTGCAAGATTTATTGATTATCATTGTCTGGATCAACTGTACAACTGCCAAAGGCCCCATATCAATACTGTGTGGTCCCCCCCCCCCCCGAGCACAGGTGTAGAGAGCAAAAGTGCACATCTACTCTGCAGCCTCACCCCTGCACACATCCCTGCTTAACTATGCTTCGGTCCATGCCTATAATAATAATAATATTATAATAATTTATTATTTATACCCCGCCCATCTGCCTGGGTTTCCCCAGCCACTCTGGGTGGCTGCCAACTGAATATTAAAAACAATACAGCATCAGACATTAAAAACTCCCCTAAACAGGGCCGCCTTCAGTTGTCTTTTAAAAGTAAAATAGTTGTTTATTGCCTTGACATCTGATGGGAGGGCGTTCCACAGGGAGGGTGCCACTACCAAGAAGGCCCTCTGCCTGGTTCCCTGTAACCTCACTTCTCACAGCGAGGGAACCGCCAGAAGGTCCTCGGCACTGGACCTCAGTGTCCAGGCTGGATTATGGGGGTGGAGACGCTCCTTAAGGTATACAGAACTGAAGCCGTTTAGGGCTTTAAAGGTCAGCACCAACACTTTGAATTGTACTGTGAGCCAATGAAGATTTTTCAGGACTGGTGTTATATGGTCTCGGCGGCCGCTCCCAGTCATCAGTCTAGTTTCCACATTCTGTAGTTTCCAAGTCACCTTCAAAGGTAGCCCCATGTATCCCTTGATCACATGCACCATCATGAGCAAACAAACCCAGGTGTTACTCTGATTAATCTATAACTTTATATGCCTAATATAAAAAGGTAAAGGTAAAGGTACCCCTGCCCGTACGGGCCAGTCTTGACAGACTCTGGGGTTGTGCGCCCATCTCACTCAAGAGGCCAGGGGCCAGCGCTGTCCGCAGACACTTCCGGGTCACGTGGCCAGCGTGACAAAGCTGCATCTGGCGAGCCAGCGCAGCACACGGAAACGCCGTTTACCTTCCCGCCGGTAAGCGGTCCCTATTTATCTACTTGCACCCGAAGGTGCTTTCGAACTGCTAGGTTGGCAGGCGCTGGGACCGAACAACGGGAGCGCACCCCGCCGCGGGGATTCGAACCGCCGATCTTTCGATCAGCAAGCCCTAGGCGCTGAGGCTTTTACCCACAGCGCCACCCGCGTCCCTTCTATGCCTAATATAGTCTTTAACAATGTCGTGCCCTCTCTGTGTTTTTGGACTACTACTCCCATCAGCCCAACCAGCACAGCTGTAATAGCTGTGGCTGATGGGAACTGTAGTCTGAAACATTAGGGTCAACAAACGGCATAGCTGTCAACTTTTTCCTTTTTTTGCGGGGAATCCTATTTGGAATAAGGGAATTTCCCTTAAAAAAGGGGAAATGTTGACAGCTATGACAAAGGGTGACATAATATCACACTGATATACCTAATGATTCATACCTAAGCACTAACAGCCTTTTGCACGGCCAGTTTGGGAGCAAAAAATCCACAGCAAATACAGTGCTAAAGGCCATATCACAATAAAAATATGCATGGCTGAAAAATTTAGGACTTGGGGCATTTGTAAATAAACTAAAGGGTAGGTTCACTTTACTTTCGCTCACATTAAGTTAAAGACTGCCATTCACTCTAATAACAAAAAGAATAGCACTGAAATATATTACAGTGGTACCTCGCAAGACGAATGCCTCGCAAGACAAAAAACTCGCTAGACGAAAGGGTTTTTTGTTTTTTGAGCTGCTTCGCAAGACGGTTTTCCCTATGGACTTGCTTCGCAAGACGGAAACGGTCTTGCAAGTTTGTTTCCTTTTTCTTAACACCGTTAATACAGTTGCGACTTGACTTCGAGGAGCAACTCATAGAACGCAGTGTGGTAGCCTTTTTTGAGATTTTTAAAGACTTTGGTGATTTTTGAAGCTTTTCCAAAACTTTCCTGACACCATGCTTCACAAGACGAAAAAAATCGAAAGGCGACAAAACTCGCGGAACAAATTAATTTCGTCTTGCGAGGCACTACTGTACGCTGGACACAACATTTGACTTCCATGACTGGCCCTGTCCCAATTTAAGAGTTCTCACTTTAATGAAACTGTATTAATTTGGAACTATTTGGTATTGTATAATTGGGTTATAATTGGAAAACTAATAAAAGAAGCCACTGGGTGTGGCCTTTTGGCAAAAACTTCTCACAATTCAGTCACAGACCCCTTGCAGGTTATTTGTGTGCTAGTTTGAGTGTGAGCACACAGTTAACATTGGGCACTAACCAACTCCTTTGTTCTACAGTATTTTTTTAATGGATTTATTGTATGCTTTTATATTGTTGTAAACTGTTGTGATACATGGCACAGCGGTAGATAAATACTTTTATTTTAAAACATACAATGTAGAATCTGCATGAACTGGGAATTTATCACAGAATGCTTCATTGTGGATCAGCACAGCAAAAGGAGATCTGAGTTGTGGAAGTTTCTGACTGAAAATTGCCTCACCTATAGCAACAAAAATCCAGGCAACACACTTGGGCATACAACTCACATGCTATGTGGCATATTTACTGTAACTTAAGTAAATCTGCTTATGCCATGTTGCTTAACTCTAATAATAAATAATTTATTATTTATACCCCACCCATCTGGCTGGGTTTCCCCAGCCACTCTGAGCAGCTCCCAACTGAATATTAAAATACAAGAATCTACTTCCTTGTATGAATAAGCACCAGAGAACCTACTTCTTCTATAGTGCAATACAGGATGAAAAAAGAAAATCACAAACATTTTCCAAATCACAAAGCCTTACAGAAGAGCCAAACACAAGCAGGGGTCTAAAGTCACTTAAAACTCTGTGACCTGGAAGCACTAGCTGCATATTTGACGGTATGTGGGAAGTAAATGCAGTGCTGGCTGGCAAGGCAGATCAACTTAGTACTGTATTCGGCTGTACGGATTTGAGGCCTCACAATCAGTTCTAACAAACCTTGACTCACTCGAAATCCTAGAATGGCATTGGGATGGGCATAATAAGTATTTCGTGCATACCTGATACCAGGGTACATGAACGGCGCACACACAACATGCGGCATATAAAAACGCAATGAATAAATAAATTTGACACGGATAAAAAGTGTCCCCATATTTTTTGGGCAGCCCATTACGAATGGGCCGGTTTCAAAGGGGGGCTTTCCCGTGTGTTTCAAAGTGCCCGGTCGACTTTGCAACGAAGATCAGTAACTAGAGATGATGCCTCCTTCGAAATACTTACGGTAACCTACGGGACGCGCGGACCGTGCGTAAAATCCAAAGAGGGAAGCGTGGAGAAGCGAGCAAAAATGACCAGCTCTGAACCAACCGAGCTTTGGCATACCGGAAAACTCATTCCGGAAACCAGATCCTAAACCCATAGCCCAAGCCTCTTAATCCAGGAATCCCTAAGAGTCGAATTCGCGGAGCCAGCCGCGCTGAACAATGCGCCAGGCTCTGGCGGCGCCTCGCTTCAGGAAGAGGCCGAACCCGGACCCGTTCCCCTCCCACGGTACCTTTCTCCGGCAGTGCCAGCGCGCCAGACCCGCCGCGGAAGGCCCACGGCAAGACCGCCAGGGCGACCAGGAGCTCCGCCGGCCCCATTTTCCTCACCCCGAACCACAACAAACCGCGGCAGGGCGAAAAGCACCGTTGGCCGCCTCCGCACTTCCGCTGCTGGAGCCGCTCCCTCGGAGAAAGTCCCACCCACCCAGCCGGGCTCCCACGGAGGGGCGGGGTGGCTGGTAAGGGACGGCCTCCGGACTTTTCAGCTGGAGAGTCCCTTCTCTGGGGAGGCGCGTGAGCATAATAAAGCTGCAGCTGCCCCTTGTTCTGGCTGAGATAGTACGGTCGCAGGCAACCTCAAGATTTGCTGGTTCTCACAGGAGAGTTGATGTGAGCAAGACGTGAACACTTCAAGCAACAGAGCTTATCCAATGCCCATGCTTGGATCAGCTAAATGTTAAGTTGCTAAAAAGCAATGTATCTAATCTGAAGAGCATTTGTGGTAGTGATTTGTGTTGACCTCACAATAGCTAGAGCAAAAGGTCAAACAGTCACCCTTTCTTTTCTTAAGTTTTCGTGTGTGAGCACAAATCATTCGCAATCACTAAAATTCTGGATTTCGTGAGCGTTAACATTTATCGGCAACCAAACAAAAAAGACAGCCTCAAAATGAAGCGGGGAGCCCCCTCAAAATAAACCACGAGGTTCCTTCTCCATTGTCTGAAACAGTACGTTCCTGCGACATTGACTAAAGAAAACACATCCTAGTTCATTTTACAGTTTTGATCTGCTCTTGACTTTCCGTGTGACCCTAGAATTCTCTGCATCGCATCACTCAGTCAGTCATAACTTGAACTTCCAACACTGGCCAAAAACACTGAAAGGTGGTAGTGGAAGCAGAATGCTGGACTCGATGGGCTTTTGTTCTGATTCAGCAGGCTTCTTACCATGTGTTTAAGATTCCAGCAAAAGAGACCAGTGTCTGTTTTGGAGATGCTTGAAATATTAGAGTCCAAAACAAGGAGCGGGGAACTTTTTGTTCTCAGGTCAGATGTGTTTAACTCTACCCTCCCTGTCTGAAGCTCCACACTTTAAAAAAAATTCCCTCGTGAAACAGCTAGGCTTTAAAAAAACGGTTTGGATTTGCTGCAACGGGAAATTTAATGATGTCAAGTCTAATTGCAGCATCGAGGGGAGGGGATGTCATAGCTCCGTGTGCTGTGACCACTCTTGAAATTAAAAAGGTGCTTCAAGTGTTCACGTATTGCTCACATCAACTCTCTTGTGAGAACTAGCAGAACTTGAGGTTGCTTGGGACCGTACTATCTCAGACAGAACAAGTGGGTTGCGTGACCTGGTTTTATTGCTTTGTCAGTGTACAGCTATAAACACATACTTGCAAAGCTTGTTTTTCCTCATAGCTCCAATGAGCAGGGTCTCTACAGCCAAAAATTCCAGAGCCTGTCCCCTTACTGGCTCATAAACTCTGGAAGGTTAGCCACAAAGGAATATGACCCTGTGGCTGGGAAATTTTCCCCATCCGGGTCTGAAAGATGTTTTCCTGTATGAAATTCTGCTCGGTATTACTGGTACAATATGCAAAAACAATAGTAACTTTTGTACATTTATGCTTTTATCAGGGAAGTAGAAATAACTATGCTATAAACACATTCATCAATGACTGAGCATACCAAGGACACTGTGGTGCTTCATTTGTTTGAAGCGAATGCTTTGGTTTTTTTCTAAGTCACCGCAGCACAGGAAATACTGACCTCATAGTGAAAAAGTGTTAACCTCACCTATTTCACTTTCCCAGTGGTTTTAACAGTTATAATAAATGCCTACTCCAATTTCAGATTATATCCCTTACTGCGGGGGGGGGGGGGGCTCCAGATGTTTCCACGCCACAGCTCCCATAAGCCCTGACCATTGGCCATGTTTACTGGAGCTAAGTGAAACTGGAGTCCAACAACATCTGGAGTGGGAGACCCTAGCAGGATGATTTGGTATGAAATTGTGAATATACTATAAAGAATTTTAAATTTTGAAGTAAGATTCAATGTAGCATGAGTGGGTATAGGATCGTACAATGTGGCTCCTTCCTCTCTCCCCCCCTGCAGTCCCCCAAAATCCAGAGTAGATTTTGAGTCCATGTGATGATCTGTAAGGAGAAGAGAAATGGAAAGTCCTGTTGCACATGCGTATTTCCATTGTGCAAGTGGGTGGATATTGGATGTGTCCCTTCAGCTCCAGGATAGAATAACTATGCTGCTCAACAATGCCTTGACCCTGTGATTCAGAGAGCCCACGCCGTATGCCATGCTGATGTCATGCGCACACACCACTCAATGTGATAATGTCTCTTGCGCACACCACGCAACGGGCTGCCGTGGAATTTTGAGGGCCCCCCATCCCCCTTGAAAATTTGTGGGCCATCTGACCCACCCCAGGTGGTGCCCCTGTTGCTGCTGCATTGACTCATGAATTGGCTTGCACGTTACTTGCTCAAGGGTGATGCCACTGAACTCTGTGAGACTCAGGCTGATTTGTACATTCACTCTATCATTCTTCTGCTTGCATTTTCACAAAGTATGTGAGGGTGACACCTTTTATTTATTTATTTACTTATTTATAAAAGTATTTATATATCATCAACTCATATATATTATCTCATATATATAGTGGCATAAAACAATAATATATATAATAAAACATTAAATATCATAAAAACAATACAAAATAATCATTAAAATGATTAATCAACACAGTTTAAACCAAGCATAGGCAAACTGGGCCCTCCAGATGTTTTGGGACTACAACTCCCATCACCCCTAGCAACAGGACCAGTGGTCAGGGACAATGGGAGTTGTAGTCCCAAAACAGCCGGAGGGCCAAGTTTGCCTGTGCCTGGTTTAAACAGCTGCATAGGCCTGTTGGCATAAAATGTTCTTCAGGAGTCAATAGCAAGGACAGAAGCAGTTTTAGGGTAGCAAGACCAGTTTGGCCACACTGGGTGCGGGTGATGTGGGGGGCACCGCAACTATGATGTAGAATGGTGTGCTAAAGATGGGGGGGCTGGTGCCGAATTTTGGTGTCTGCTGAAATTTGAGAGCCCAAATTTCAAGGGCAAGGATGAGCAAGGATGCCTACCAAATCTCTGCTGGAAAAGTGTGGAACCAGTGGCACTAAATGACCACCATTTGGGCTTCTGTAACATTGGAGACAGCTAACAACACTCCTCTGGATGACCTCAGTGACTGAGCTTGGATATTAGGGCTCAAATGGTCCTTAAGGTACCCTGGTCCCAAGTTGTACAATAGCACAAGAACCTTGAATCTGACCTGGCGCCCTATGAGTAAACCAGTGCAGATGTTTCAGCAGATGTGTAACATGCTGTTGATCGTGTATTCCCATCTAGCCACTGAAGTCAGCTACTGAATTTGCTACTAGCTAGAGCTTCTGAACAAGTCCCAATGGCAGCCCCGCATATAGTGTATTACAGTAATCCAGTATGAAGACTACCAATTCATGGAGTACAGTGGCCAGGTTATCTGATACGCACCAGCTGAAGCGGGAAAAAGGCACTTCCAGCCACACCAGTTGCTTGGATGTCTAATGAAATAGGTGTATCCAGGAGTATCTCCAAGCTACACACCTGTTTCTTTAGAAGAAATTTAACCCTATCCAGATCAGGCAATCGCGAATATTCCAGACATGGGAACCACCTACTGACAGAACCTCCATCTTCCCAGGATTCACACTCCATTTATTGACCCCCATTCAGTCCATCACTGCATTCAGACACTGATTCAGGGCTTGCACCAACATGCCTGATTCAGCTGTTACGGAGAAATAGAGCTATATGTCATCAGCCTAGTGTTAACACCATACTCCTAAATCCCTAACCACTTCTCACAGTGGCTTGATATAGATGTTAAATTGCATTGTGGACAAAAGAGTGTCATGCAGAACCCTAGAGCACAAGTACTAGGGGGCCACAGAACACCAGTCCAATCCAAGTTGGCCTTAGGGATGGGTGAACTGGGCTGCCAAGCTTGAGACCAGTGGCTTTTTAAAATGTACTGTTCACAGTAAGCTAGGGTGGCAAAAAGCAAGTGGCACACGTGGTGGACTTATACTGGAGCAGCCACACATCACCCCATTATTAGCTGTTCTTCAATGCTTCCCCAGTATTGCTGTAGTATTACTATTGTGCTACAGTGCATGAAAAGTGGGACACGAACAGTTTCCTGGGACATTTAGAGACCACTTAGAGATGACTGTGATCAAGCAGTATACAAATTGCTGAAGTATGTAAATAAATACACTTGTGGCATGAAAAGTTACAGGATTTCAGCAGGAAGTTGGCATATACCAGCTGGTGACAAAGCAGGCCAGAAGCTTTTGCAGGGGCAAACAGTATTGAAATTGGGATCGTGTATAACCGCTCCAGTACCATCATGAGCACAAATAATCATGAATGCATAACAAATAGGATGTCTGGAGGAGTCCTAAATGTTGCAATCGGTTCCCCAGTGCACTGAGCTCCACAGGCAGAACCATTCAGGGGCAGTTAATTAATGCAAATCCCCATGTGTCTCTCCATAAGGAGAGCAGGGAGGATTATCATACTGTCATGTACACTAGCAATTTGTGTGCAAACTGCTCAGTGGAAGATTTCCCTGCCAAAATGGACTGCCAGGCTTCAAGCCACTGCCAATTTTGTGAAAGGCATAGAGGAAATAAGGTGTCTGGAATTAGTTACACCACTCTCAAATATGAATGTGCTTGGTGCTTTCAAGACGGCTCTTTGTTGATGTGTGTTTGGCCCTGATCCATCAAGAGGCATTGCCTGTGCAGCCCCCAAGTACCAAGTGTGGGCCCACCCAAATAGCCCAGCAAGATAATACAAAACTAACAATAAAATAATTTTAGGGGGAGACAATTAACATTAAAAAGACAGCTACGTTTTAGAAGTTGGACCCGAAACAAAATATTGCAGTGTGGAGTGTTCCTGTTCAAGCAGGGTTCCTGCCAGCCAGCCATACCCTTTCTTAGGATATTCCACTCTATTTCCCATCTCCTCAGTTCTCCCAATCCCATCTCTCAGCATTTTGCAGTCACTGGGCAAGCCTAGACCTCATTGAGCTGTTGGATGGATCCTTGCCGCATTTAGAGGTTGCTTTCCTAAAGGTTCTTTTTGTGTACTTGGGGATGATTTCCCCAAACCTACCGTTGCCTCCCCTGTGCATAAGTAGTGTCATTTTAGCTAGAGAAGGACCCACAGCGAATGAGTTCACTATTACCAAGCAGCATCTTGTGTGTGTGTGTGTGTGTGCAGCATC